GCGGGCAGGCCTGGAGCCGCCGGCTGCACCGGGACAAGCGGGTGTGTGTTGAGTGCCGGGGGGATGCACCCCACCGCCGGCCCCATTGCACCGGACATGGGCTGCAAGGAGCCAGGTAGGGGGTAATTTGGGGTGCGGGGGGGGAGGCAGATATCCCCCACCCAATGGAGAAGCATCTTTCCGCATCTTCCTTTGATATCCTTAATTATAAACATATTTTTATATAAAATGAATATTATGCCACAATTCAGACACTTAATATATAGAATAGAATAGAATAGAATAGAATAGTTCCATTTGGAAGGGACCTACAATGATCATCTAGTCCAACTGCCTAAATATGTTATTTTATATATATATATGATTATATATAACTGTATATAATTATTATTCACGGTGCACCCTAGCTCTCACCGGCTTTCCCTTCCAGGACGTTTTGGGTGGCCGCCTCCATGGCAGGGTGCCAGGGCTCGTGGGTGCAGGAGGGGCTGCAGGAGGGTTGTGTCTGCCCCCCACCGGCTCTCATCTTCGTGTAGCATCCCCCCGGAAGGTGAGCTGAGCCTCCCCGCGCCACTGCTCCTTGCTGGGGAGGCAGGGAATGAAATAACAGCGTGGTGGCTTTTGTCCTTTCCTCCTTCTGCAGGCTGGCTGCTTGCCCATGGAGCTGACCCCCTGTGTTTTCCATTAAGTATTTCGTTGACGAATGGGAAGAAAACCCTGCTTATAAAGATTAAAAATAAGGGAATAGCTAAAGTATGGTGATCAATGGTGGAAGAACATCATGCTGAGGTTAAATCTGGGTGAGATGATGATGCAGCAGTGACGTGGGAGGACAACGTGATGATATCATGCTCAGCCGTGACATCATGCCTTGCAGTGAGCTGCCATTGGCGAGCAACGTGATGATGAAGGTGGTGTCCTCCCTCTGTGCATTCAGGCTGGCCTGATGGCAGCGAGCTGTTGGGCGAGGTGTGAGGGGTGGCTCGGCTGCGTGCTGTGACTTGCAGACAGAAATTAAAGGCAGGCACCTGAAGTCCGCACGTGGGTGACGATGCCGGTGGGTATCCGGGTCCAGCTGTGGGGCTCGGCAGCCCCCACTGGAGGGAGCAGGGCTGGGCTGGGTGATGCTGGGCTGCACTGGTGTCACTCCCCAGTCCTCACCTGGCATGACATGACCTTGCTGGTGAGGTCCCCGGTCCAGCCTTGGGTGGTGGTACCCACAGCCAAGATGCTGTGCTGGTGGCCTCGGCACCTGCCCACACCCACAAACCACCCCTGGGTGCCTTCACCCCACCCCTGCCAGGCACAGCACCAGGCGCTCATCCCACAAAGATCGCCTTGATTCGGACACGGCCGCCTGCAGCAACCGGCAGCGCCCAAGCCCTATACTGCCAGGGCCGAGACACCCAGGGAGCTCTGAGCCATTAAACACCCCCAGGGGAATGGAGTGAAGGGGCCAGAGGAGATGGGGTGGCAGAGGAGGGCGGCCATGCCTGCACCATGAGCCCCCATCCCAACCCTAGCCTGGGTGGGATGAGGCTCCTGCGGCAGGATGCCGTGCCGGGCTGGGGCTGGCTCTCAACAGGCTGGCCCAGGGCAAGCAGGCAGGCAGGAGGGGGCCCATGGTGGGCACAGCCCTGGGTCTGGGAAAGGAGGTGGGAAGGAGAGGGCAGCTCATGGCACTGCCGTCCCAGCCTCATCCCATCGGACCGTGGCTGCCGGTGGGCAGGCAGGGCCCATCCCCGGG